TTTCTTTCTTTCTTTCTTTCTTTCTTTCTTTCTTTCTTTCTTTCTTTCTTTCTTTCTTTCTTTCTTTCTTTCTTTCTTTTTTTTTTGGCAATTGGGGTTAAGTGACTTTCCCAGGGTCACACAGCTAGTTAGTGACAAGGGCATTAATTTCTAGAAGCAAAAACAAGTGCTATATGGGATATTGAGGACAATGTCAAAATGAAGCCCAAAGGATAGCACACTAGATATAGTTATTGCTACTGATGTTGGATAAGGAATAAGATATCTTTGTGTCTGTCCCTGCTTATAAAATGGTGGTGATCATAACTGTGCTGTATCCTTACTTCCTGGACAAAAAAAAAAGTGAAAGACATTTACTTCAATACTTTAATAAGTCTGTGATCTAATCCATTTGGTGACTCCCTTCCATGATACAGATCACATCCTAAAGTACTTGAATCGGACCAAATCCCTTCCCCCAGGAAGAAGTAGAGAGAGACCATTGGAATAACTGATGAACATAACTGATGAGCCCTTAAGTGAACCAAAGTGATTTTTACCAACTCCTGTGATCTCCTTTAACTAGCTTATACATGATTGGTATATTCAAAGAGAGTCTACTAAATGTTGATGGATACAGCCATAAAGGGTTCCAATTTCCCTTGTCGTTATTCTTTCATTACACAAAACATCATAAGTTCCAACATTCAGGAGATACTCAGATGAGTCTGTAAATCACTAGTAGTCGTATCCTGCTCGCTGATATGTAGCTCTTTGTTGTCCATTGTTGTCCATCTATTCTATGGATACTATGGTATTCTACAATTCATAACCACATAACATCCCTTTAAAAGGTGATGGAAAAATATGGAGTCTGTGTCGGGAAAACAGCATGGGATTCTAAAGTTTGTGTAATTTTCCCAAATGTAATCCACCCCACTTTTTCTCTTCTTTAATTCTAGTCCTGGCTAATTGTCTGTCTGTAGTATCTGTCAAGGACAGATGTTATGAGAATAATTTTGATATTTCTACTCATTTAATCAGTATTTACTCAGTTCATCATGATGTATTGGTACCAGTGATTGTCTATAAGTAAGATAAATAGTATAGAATTAATTGTTAGGATAAGAATCCCGTAGGTTGGAATTAATTGACTCTCTATGTACAGATGATAATATTGCTTTTAATTGATAGATTTATAGTTTGTTATTTAGGCCTGTATTAAGTGTTAGGAATAAAGATAGAAACTTGCTGTCCTCCCCCTGACTCCTATAAATGTCCTCTGAGAGCTTCTGTGTTTCAGAAAACAAGTTTCCCCTATTACTTGATTCTTTTGTGCCCAATGTTTATAAAATGCTAGTGGAAAGTCTCAGAATCCTGTTGCCTAGTCACTGACTAAATGCTCATAATTGATACATGTGGAAAGCCTGATGATTCAACTTTGGTGACTGAGGGACATTTCCCTTTGGATGATCATGTGAATTTCCCCTTTTGGAATTGGCCAATCAAAAAATTGTGCCACCTCAATCTATTTTGGGCATCCCCTTAGTTGCTATGAAAGAAGCAAACTGTGGGGTAGAGGGGTTCATGACTTCAGAGTAAAGTCTTGGATCCAATTTCTTAGGGACCACTAGTTTCCCTAATAAATTGAAACTGCGCCAAGTCCTGCCTCAGTTTCTCTTTGTTGTGGATTGGAATTTTGGGGTCACAATGTACTGATGGTCTAAATTAAAAGACTGCCTATCTCACAGCATGCCACAATCTGAACAAAAAAGTATTTTTCATCCATTTGATTTCTCTGTGTAGACTGTTAAGCTAAACTCTTTTACAAGGTGAGGGATCTCACTGAAGAGGCCCCATAGGACTCTAAGGTTTTAAGCAGTTAGCATAATATAATCTGCAACCAGGATCATCAGGAGGATTTCACCACCTGTAGGGAACCCCTTTTCAGTTAGGCGCTCTGTATGAGACATCTTCCCTGATAATGACAAACACCTTTGGTAAGCCTTCTTCTTGTTTGATGAATTGTGACACTGATCAGTCAACAAAGGCATCTTTGTGGTTGCATCTATCAAGGGATACTCTATGATTTTAACGTGCATGGGGACATCTTGTCGGAGAAAAACCCTGAAGGGTATGTTTTGCTATGCCAAGTCAAATCACACACACACACACACACACACACACACACACACACACACACGTATAGTGTTCAGGAAGATTAGCACCTCTGATTTGAGGGCTTGCTGAACCCTTTTCATGGATGCTCATCCATCTTTGGTGCCAACCTAGTTCACCCGACTCTCAACTGTGGCTCCGAGAAGTTGTAGTACGTGCAGCGGTCACACCCTGATAAACCATCTTGGCAGATGGGCTAAACCAGGTTAAGGGTAACCAACAGGCCTCAAATCCAGTGGTGAGTTAGCAGAAGTGGGGAACCTGCAACCCTTCCAGGCCACACGTGGCCCTCCAGGTCCTCGCATGCAGCCCTTTGACTGAATCCAAACTTCATAGAACAAATCCCCTTAATAAAAAAAAAATTTGTGCTATAAAACTTGGATTCAGTCAAAAGGCTGCTCCCAAGGATCTAGAAGGCCACATGTGGCCTCGAGGCTGCAGGTTCCTCACCCCTGAGAGGGGGATGTCTACCCCAAGCATATAAAGGCTTTCCCCAGTGGAATGGGTAGATGAGAACCATTTGCTCCATGGCCATGAAGGTAGCTGGAACAGGCTCCTCAGAGCTCTCAGAGCTTGGTCAGGTATCAGACATCAAGGTCATCCACCGCATCCCAGGCCGTTGCCAGTCAGCCTGACTTTTGTCTTGCCGTTGGACTCAGAAGGAGAAAATGAACCTGATGACTTTGTGCAACTGTGCCTCACTTAAATCCAGTTCATACACAAGACATCACCTGTGATGTCACTGGTCCTCTTTGAAAACAAAGGACAAACAATGTACATGTATATGTATGAATGTATGCATGTACATATGCATGTATGGATAACCAATGCACACATTCAACAGGATCTTGCATTCTTTGTATCTTTCAGTCAACTGTGAAGATGAGACACATGCTAAGAAAATCAAAGAATCAGGGCAGCTAGGTGGCACAGTGGGTAGAGCTCTGGCCTTGGAGTCAGGAGGACCTGAGTTCAAATCTAGACTCAGACACTTGACACTTACTAGCTGTGTGACCCTGGGCAAGGCACTTAACCCCAATTGCCTAAGCAAACAAGAAAAAGAAGAGAAAGAAAGAAAGAAAAAAAGAAAAAAAAATCACAGAATCTCAGAGTTGGATGGGATGTTAAAAGTCATCTAGTCCATCTCATATCTGAAGAGGAATTCTCCATGATTACTCATTATTAATGATGATCCACCTTTTATCTGAAGACATTCAGTGATGGGGGAGTTAATTCCTCCTGAGCTAGTTCATTCCAAACTGGAAGGTTCTAATGGTTAGAAAGTTTGTCCTTGAGTAAAAAAATCTACCTTTTCCTTGGTGTCTAAGCAAAACGAGTCTTAGCCTTCTACATAAAAGTCCTTCAAATACTTGAAACCAGCTATCATGTATCTCTATACTTTTCTTCTCCAGGTTTAATATGCTCATTTCCTTCAAATGATAATTTTATGGCATGGTTTTAAATCCTCTCACCATGCTGGGTCACTCCCTCTGTACATATTGTAGCTTGTAATGAAAATTTCCAGTCACTCAGTATTCACAAAAAATATGCTCTATGATAGAAGATATACAATTTAGAACTTTGGTTCCTAACAGGAATTCATAACTTACTTATGATATTTAACCAAAAAACTGGCATCATCTCATTGATAATTCACATACAATTCTACCAGTCTTCCCATTTGTTCTGTCAAGATTGTTTCGTGGTGACAATCAGAAACAGGTAGAGTAGATAGTTTTCAGGGGCTTTGGCCCTGCTCAAGTGATCAAGGGATATTGAGAGCTAAAATATAGGTATTATTATATCATACATAGAAATGTTTAAGAGGTAGTGTAGAGCGGTGAAATCAACATTGAACTAGGAGTTAGAACATGAGTTCAAGTGTACCAGATCCCACTTTGTAAATCAGTAATCATCATTCTGAAGCCAGAGTACTCCAGTTGTCTTTTTTGTGCCAAGTGGTAGAAACTTCTTGTCAGAACCTGTTGAATCCTAAGTCCCAACACACTAAGACCTTGAGCAAGTCATTGAATCACAATATTAAGTGAGGTGTGTAAGACAGCCATAGGCACCATCTTAGCAGCCTCACTCTACATGTTGGTAGAAAAGCATTCAAAGATTTGGCAAGTGTCTAGCACAATGCCTTGCCCCACCCCCTTTTTTCAGTCTGACTTGTTATTTCATAAGTATGCAGAACTCCTGATATAAAACCTCTTTGCAATGCTACAGATCAGACACTTGAATAAAACTCATAGTCTTAAAGAGTCACTTGGGGAATGAGAAACTAATAGTCTTGCCAATGATACATACTATATACTGCTGGTGCCTCTCATGCCTTGCCCAATTAATAAATATTTGTTGAACTGAATTGTCAGCAAAAGTGCTTACACAAGCCAAAAATGCATCATTAATCATTTACTTAACAGAACAGCAGGCATCTGGTTAGAAGATATGACTTGGAGAATTTATTTGAGGGAAACAGGGTTTAAAGAATGAATTTTCATACAAAAAGATACTTGTTCCAGAATAAATAAAGACTGCAATGAAGCAGGGTATCTGCATGACTCCTCTGACACTGTTCTACTAGTCCAAATGTTCTTAATCGTGAGTATGTGTCGTAGACTCCTTTGGAAATCTGGTGAAGCCTATGGACCTCTTCTCAAAATGTTTTTAAATGTATATAATAAAATATATAGGAGTAAAAAAAAAAAAAGATGTACTTTTTCCCCCATCCAAGTTCATGGACCACCTAAAATCTTTCCAGTAACCCCTTGGTCATCTGGACTCCAGCTAAGAATCCCTATACTGGGGCCAGAAAGTAGTTAGGGTTTTTGTTTGTTTATTTTGTTTTGTTTTGAGATTGAGCTTCCTATCTCACCCAAGCTGGAAGTGTAATAGCCTCAGTCCCACTACTAATTAGCATGGCAGCTTTTGACCTGCTCTTTTTTCACCCCTCCTTAGGCAGCCTGGTGGCCCTCTACTCCCAGGGGATCAATGACATCAGACAGTACGAACATCTGATCAAATTTAGCCCTACTACAACTCAGAACTCCTGAACAGAAGTGATCTTTGAGGCCTTACCTCTCCCACTATAGACTACAGGTGTATGCCACCATGCCTGAGCATTTACATGTTATTAATTGATTGAAAGCCCTCTTCTGACAAAACTATTCTTATTTGCTAAGTATATGACCATTTACTTAGAAAATCCCAGGGAATCAGCAAAGAAACTAATTGAGACTATAGCTTCAATAAAGTAGCAGGTTACAAAATAAACATACATAAATCAGTATCAGGACAGTTAGGCGGCTTAGTAGATAGAGTGCCGGACCTGGAGTCAGGAAGGCTCATCTTCTTGAGTTCAAATTTGGCCTCAGATACTTACTAGCTGTGTGACTCTGGGCAAGTTACTTAACCCCATTTGCCTAAGTTCTTCATCTGTGAAATCAGCTGAAGAAGGAAATGGCAAACCATTCCAGTTTCTTTGTAAAACAAACAAACAAACAAAAAGCAACTAAACAACAAAAACAACTACAAATTAATATAATTTCCATCTAGCAGGAACAAAATCTGGGGTAGTTCCATTCAAAATAACTACAAAATGCATAAGGTATCTGGGAGTTACATTATTTACCTGTATAGATACAACTACAGAATGTTCCTTAAAGAAACAAAGAATAACTTAAACAGTTGGGATCACATTATGTGCTCATGACCAGGTTATGCCAACATAATAAACTTTACAAAGATCAATGTACAAGTTTAGTGCTATCCCAATCTAAATACAATAGAACTAGACAAAATAGTAACAAAATTCTTTTTTTGGGGGGGGGGACTCAGCAATGGGGTTAAGTGACTCACCCAGCTGGTCCATAACAAAATTCATTTAGAAAAATAAAAGCTCCAAGGGCAGGTAGGTGGCTCAGTGGACAGAGCACCGGACCTGGAGTCTAGAGGATCTGAGTTCAAAACTGGCCTCAGACACACAACACTCACTAGCTGTGTGACTCTGGACGAGTCACTTAACCCCAATTGCCTCAATCAATCAATAAAAGTTCCACACAAGAAAGCTAATACAATCTTGGGTTGCATTCAGAAAGGTAAATTATCTCAAATGAGAAACGTGAAAGAGCTACCATGCTCTGACTAGATCACATACAGAGTATTATGTTTGGTTCTATGTACTTCATTTTAGGGAGAGTATTGATAACCTGGAGAACATTCAAAAGAAGATGACTAAAATGGTGAGGGGGCTTAAGATCATTCCATATGACCAAGAACTAAGGGGAGCTATGTGGCACAGAGGATAGAGCACCAATCCTGGAGTCAGGAAGTACCTGAGTTCAAATACTGCTTTAGATACTAGCTGTGTGATGACAGAAGGGAGGAAGGAAGGAAGGAAGGAAGGAAGGAAGGAAGGAAGGAAGGAAGGAA